GACGAAAGCTTATGCTCTAATAAATTTGTTAGTCTCTAAGGTGCCACAAGTACTCCTGTTCTTTTTGCAGATACAGACTAACACGGCTGCTACTCTGAAACATTTCTCTTAAGAAACACTGGGCCAAATTCACTCCTAGAGTAAGCAGGTGTAACTCCCTACGTGCACTCACACAGTGATACAATCTGTCCCATAATCTTGGGTTTACATGTTGCTATTGTTTGTATAACAATTTACTTGTGCTTTGAAATAAACAAATGCATAATTTTCTGCTAATTACAGGGATTTACCAGGAAGTCAAACAATCTAGACAGATGCAATTCAAATTTCTATCTCCTCCAATACAGTTTCTTATTTAACCCAAATACTTTATCACGGTGGCAAAACAGAAGTCCAGATCCTCATCCAGAATAAGCTGCCATAGCTCCTTTGATGTCAAAGAGGCTACGCTCATTACCCCAGATGAGGATCAATAAACAGGCTTTTGGAGACTTTTATACTCTCCTCTGTTTATCTCTTAGAAGTTTAAAAATCATATTTCCTTTCTTATCGCTTCTGTCCTTTTCCTTTTTCAACTCTAAGTGTAATGAATTGCAGAATTTGAAACAACGAAGCCACACTCTGCATGGTTGTACGTAAGTGTTACAAAAGATCTACCCGCAGTTAAAGAAAACCATAGATAGCTAGAAGGTGGGGGAGGAAATATCTTCTGTTGGATTTTATTTTATAGATAGCTACATCATTCAGATTCCTCACCCACTGCCAATGAGGCTCTTCCTTGATGGGATAGTATGTAAGATGTGACTGAGAACTGAAATGAACAAAGCCTTTTAGAAAAGCAGTCAGGCTTGGCTTTAATTTCAGAACAAAATTCCACTCTCAGAGCAGCCCACTGCATCTTGATTCAGATTTTTCTCCCCTTATATTCATGAATGTCGCAGCAGAGGCAATCAATGTGGGCCAATAATGATGTAAACACCTGTTCACTGGGAACTGGACTGAGACCCATTTCACGCAGGCCAAAAAGCAGCTATAAGATGGCGATGAGTCCCTTCTCCAGTTTCTTCTGATTAGGTTTGATGACCAAGAAGGTCACCAAATTTGAATAGATGATCAAGAAGAGGGAAAGGTTCTGATTCCCAGCTACCAATTCCAGGATCCATCCCGTTTCCTTTTTGTATGGTTTAATGGAGCTGGGTGTAAGCCAATCTTTAATTATTAGAAATCAGGATGAGACCTAATGTAGGGGCAGATTGTCTCACATCTGTGGGATTTTTACACCTTCTTCGGACACTTCTGGTACTCATATTGTATTCGAGAAGGAATACTGGACTAGCTGGACCCTGTGCCTGATCCTGCATGGCACTTCCTGTATACTACCCTATATGTATAATTACATCATGACTATGCCAGATCTGCTCTGGAGATAGTTTGTTAATTAAAGCACTATTGTCAACTAGTTATAATACTTTAGAGTTTGAAAAAAGTAAGGGGATTTACAAAACCTATTATCAGTACATATGTTTCTCTAGTTGTTGTTGGTTTTGCGGTTGGTTGGGGAGGGAGGCGGTTGCTTGTTTGTTTTCCATATTTAGTTCTGAATTTAAACATTCCCCTTTCACTATGTTATAAACTCAAACACTGCAATAAGGTGCTAGTGCCATGAGAACCAGAAAAGTGAAACTGACTGGAAACTTAAGTGATATTGACCAGACTAGTCTCAGCCAAAACTGAGTGATGTGCATAATTTTTGTATGTTATTTTGTTATTTAATGAATGTGTTATTTATGTAAGTATGCTTAAAGATATTTGCTAAGCACATTTTAAAATATAAATAAATACATAATATTTTGCATTTACATTCAAAGTAAGTAAACAGCAAATAGTAAAAGTATACCTGATTTTTAAAATGATCCCGCTTGTAATATCTGTAGTTGTTATTAGTAACATAGATAAGGGATATTTTGTTTATAAATTAGTTTTATGTTGACCAGTGTCTCTTTAATTATTGCTAAAGAACCCAGGGTGAAATCCTGACTCAATGACAAAACTCCCATTTGACTTGAATGGGTCCAGGATTTTACCCCCTAAAGTTTCAACAATGAACGTTTGGGAGTCCAGCACAAGTGGTGGTAGCTGTTGAAATATATTTATGAACAACCAAGTGCTGCATTTTTAAAAACTATTTATTTAGAGGCATTACTATGGAGCTTATTACCACAATACCTGTTAATAGTCATTACAAGAAATGTTAATTCACTAGAAAACTAGATATTTAGATGAATCTATATGACTGACCACCAAATTTAAGGTAGTTTTAAGGCGGGTCAAACCCAAGGTACTTGAAAATGTTTCTTTCAAATTGCATGCAACTCCATATTAGGTATTTCCTAAGTGGGAACTGTTAAAAGCACTAGACAGAAAGGTGTAAAATATATTGTTATGGTCCACACTCTGCCAGACTACTAAAGCCACTGAAGCCTAACATAAACTACCAAAATCAGGTACACAGAGGTGCACCAGACAGACTTGAATCAGGTTCAGGGGCCGCAAAGGGACAGCCCATTAAATACCCAGCTTAAAGTTTTGGATGATTCATTTAAACATCTTTTAAAGAGCTAATTATTATTAATTCCTTGCAGTGGATCAGTCTGAAGGGGACTAAGAGAAACTATGCAAACACATAGTTATTGGGATGACACTCAGTATTGTGCATGATCTGTATACAAAAGAACAAACACAAGACCATCAACAACGCAGATTCCATCTGGAGACATTAAGCAGAGGTTGCACAAAATGACATGGCAGGCAATTTTGTTTCGTTCCATTAGGTTAGACACAGGATAAAAACCAAACCTACCTGCAGCTCCAACTGAGCAGGCAGCATTGGGGGAGAGAAAAATATTTATGTTATGAAATGGACCGTAAAACAGAAGACTTGGCTTTGGCAGAAATCAGTCTCCTGTGGGTCATTATCAGTCAGGGCCAGATCTGGAAGTCCTAGCTCATTCTTCACTCAGGCAAAACTCCCAATGAGAGTTTTGCCTCAGTAAGAACTAAGCAGGGAGTTCAGGATTTGCCCTTCAGTTAATAACTGCCTAGAAGGAGTTAAGATGTGAGTAAGAGTGAAGATGAAAATCACAGGTAACCTTTAAGACACACTGTCTTTCTGCCTTTCATGTTTTCTCAGATAGGATGTTTATTAAAAATTATATAATGAACCCTTCAGAGTCTCAGTGAGAATGAAATGTGTCTGGCAAGAAGTGGTAGCTATGGGAAGATAAAGAGGTTATGGATGCCAGGATCAGATTGCTGGGAAGTAACGGGTAGTGATTTATTTAAGTGCTGTCCTACTGGTCGATACTCGTCAGAATTTAATAATCTCTTACATTTCCATTGTGACTTTCAGCCTGAAGGATCCCATTGTGCTTTACAAACTGCACCTCTGTCCTGCAAGCTGTTCTGCATGAGTGTAGGGCTTCATCCACACGGAGAAACATTCAGGATCAAGCCTAGGTAAGTACAGCCATTTTTGAAATGCATCCAGAGAGTGGCAACTAACAAACGCATTGGATGGTGCACAACAGTGGGTAGGAAACATTTATTTTAGCCAAGGACAATGATGTAACCCCCTATGTCACAGTTCAGGGCAACTGCACCTGTATTCTCCGCCTATGTTTCAGCAAGGGCACCCACTGGTTCCTCTGGCCGTCACCCCTCTTGAGGGGAGACACGCATCTCATGTCCTTCTGAGAGGCTATTTCCAGGCTGAACAGTTCCCTGCCTTCACCATGTTATTCCCAGCAGAGACAGGCTGCTCAAACTGGCCTGCTGGCTTTCTCTTCAGAGACGGCTAACAGTGTGACTGACCACAAGTATAGTTACCACAAAGCTCTTTTTATGCAAGCCTCTTTTATTCTTAAGGTAATAGCACAACAGACAAAACACATTACAAACAATAAAAGAACCTACACACGTGCTAACAGGCTACCAGAGATCACCCCAACTCTAAAATGGGTTCTTGCAGGAGCAGTCCTTCAGCATCCCACCAAGGTTTCAAGTTCATCACAGCTTCATCTCAGAACAAGCACCCAGTCTTATGTGCTTGTGAAAATTTCCATTACTTGCATCTGAAGAAGTGAGGTTCTTACCCACGAAAGCTTATGCTCCCAATACTTCTGTTAGTCTTAAAGGTGCCACAGAACCCTCTGTTGCTTTTTTCCAGTCTTATGGTGCCTCGTTAGGCCCAGTTCTTCCAGCCCTTCCCTGAGGATTGGGACCTGCTGTGGGCCAGGGGTCCTGTCTAGTTATGGGATCAAGAAGAAAGCCCTGGGCCTGTGTAAAACCAGGCTAATTATCCAAAAGTCGTTTCTTTGTCTGTTGGTCAGTGAAGAATCCAGTTTGAACTAGTACAGCCGAACCTTTCTGGGGAGGAGCTTCAAAGAGCTGATAACCGGAGGAATTACATTTGCATCCCCTTCCTCCTCGATGAGTTACATGTGATTCCACAATGACACATAAAAAAGTGCATTTTTAATACAATGGACCCCAAAGGTATTAAACCTAATTCAATAAGGTTTAAATTCATTCAATAAAGTTTATCTTAATTCCATAAGGTTTGTCCAGTATATTGTCAGTCTGTCACACCCTACTCTTACAAAAAGTGTCCCATAGGGTCGTTAGTGTCCACCCAAAACAAGGCAGGACCTCAGTGTTTAAGCTCTAATCTCAAGTCTCCCGCAGAGTAAACTCCATGAACTCTACAGAAGAAGGCATGTGTTGACCCTACCAGGATTTGAACCTATTGTTCCAGTGAATCTGTGTTTCAAACTAGAAATTTAAACCATTAAGCCATTCCCTCTAACTTAGAACCTAAAAATAGTAGCCTTCTTGGTAAGTAGATCTGTACCTTCCCAAAACATGTAGGATGGTCCTGATTTTGACAGGTGCTTTCCAAATGCAAGTCTTATATTTATATTGATTGTTGTAACACTGTGTTATGACAGCTTTGTATCTTCACCATGTGATGTTGCACAAGTAAATGAAACAGAAAATGTCTCAAGAGAATTATTTACTTCATGGAATACATTCAAAAAGGTGATGTCCCTCCACATGTCTACTTCAGGCAACAAGTGCTAGAACTGCAAAGGCAAATCAATGCCAGAGCTGTAAACAAGAAACCCAAGAGAGGAATGACAGATATATCTATGTACTTCCTTCACTGTGGACCTGATCCAGCCCCCACTGAAGCCAAGGGCTGGATCAAGTCCTACATGCATACTGCCCTCTACTGGACACACTGTCAGCCTTGCATACGCATAGGTTTATGTTACTATGCTTTTCTCAAGAGGCTGCATCCTACAGGATGATATAAACGCTAATGCAATGGTACAAGTGTAAACGTCCATTAAGAGCTAGTCTATTATTACTGTGTATTGTAATGCAGAAGTTTTGTTATTTAAAATACAAAGAATATTGCTCCCCTTTGTTGCAGATATAAAAGAATCATGTCATTTG